TGCAGCATGTGGACGTGCGTTATCCCAAAAAAGCATAATGCCTCTGGACAACAATCCCTGCTGTTTGTTTTGAACTGAAGCTTCATTCATCATATTACCATAAACCTTGGTTATTTATCTGTAAATTTTGATAGGACAGACTTTTTGCAAATTCAAAAAGCATATTATACTTTGAACCTCACACTTTGTTTTGTTTCCTTTCTAACCTGGGCAATAAATAATGGATCTATTTGCTAGTCATATAACAATAAAACAAATGTATTTTGAAGTCTAATTGCAGTAAAATATATATATATGATAATGCTGTAAAGTTATATTTATACTAGGGGGCTTTGATCTCTACTTGTTTCACTTGTTCATCCTATGAGCTTCACCATCTTGTTCATCCTACTGGCTTCATCCAGGTGTTCCAAAATTTCATGATTATTCATCAATTTCCAGCATTTTTTTTTCTTCTCCCAGGCCACTGAAGTTGGCCAGGGAAAAACTCCCCTTCTGCTTCACAGATTTTGTCCACTTTTGCACAGTATACATCATTCATAATAAAAATTTTGAGATCCTCATCAATTCCCAGTGCTACTGCTTATATATACATGCAATTTGTACGGAAAAATAGTTAACGTATCCAATGTTGAAATTTTTTTGTTGCGTGTTGCTTCACATTGAATTTTTGTCGATGTTAAGCCTAATGTCATTTTTTAAAATAATAATTGTGGCTATTGCATCATTAAAAATTATTTCTTTATTTTGTACAAACAAAATATATTGAAAAATAAAAAAACAAAAAAATAATATTTTGGAAGTTCATCTAATATTAAAAATGTTTGAATACAGAAATGTGTTACATACCTTACATAACGTAGGCCTACAGTTTAAGAAAAAAATCCAAAATTGTCTTTTGCTTCACAGCTGAGAGTCGCTTTTTTGTCGCTAAATTACGCACACATCTTTAAGGACAGCAATTGGATAGCATCACATTCTTCTTGCTGTTTTAAAAAGAACAGTGATGCCATTAAAAAATTTGTGAGTGTACTTGACAGTGAAGACGGAAGCTTGCACAGAAAAACGATGAGGATGGCAGACAACAAGGATTTAGACCTTGCAGTTTACACGTGGTTCATGCAGGTACATAGCCAAGGACAACCAATAAGTGGCCCTTTGATCTGAAAAAGCTCTTGAAATGTACAAGAAACTGGGGGCAACGATGATTTTAAAGCGAATTCCAGCTGGCTTAAGCATTTCAAATCTAGGCATGGAATTATGGAATTGGACATCCAGGATGAAAAACTGTTGGCTGACACTGAATCAGCTGAAAGTTTGAAAGTGTCTTTTAAGAACACGATCAATAAGGAGGACTACAAAAAAGCAATGTCTACAATGCAGACGAAACTGGTTTGTATTGGAAAAAAATGCCAACAAAAACTTTAGTTTCTAAAAATGAAATGTCATCACCTGGTTTTAAGGTAAGCAAATTACGCATCACTGTTATGGTATTTGGAAATGTTACCGGAACACACAGGCTACCTTTGCTAATCATAGGAAAATCTAAAAATCTGCGGTTCTTTAAAGGAATAAAAAAATTGCTGGTGACCTACAAAAATCAAAAGAATTTATGGATGGATACAATCATTTTTATAGAATGGTATGACATTGTATTTATCCCTGAAGTCAAAAAGCATCAGCTTAAAACTGGAAATACTGGAAATGTTTTGTTGTTGATTGATAATGCCCCAAGTCATCCCTCAAACATTTCACTGGAAAGAGAAAACGGAAAGTTTAAAGTTGTTTACTTGCCTCCCAACGTTACTTCAATCCTCCAACTGATGGACCAAGGGGTCATTGAAAGCTTCAAATGATATTACAGGAAGGCATTGCTGTGTATGGTAATAATCGGGGAAGAATGTGAAAATACAATTCAGCAAGTGTACACTGAAATTAACTTAAAGGATGCTATGTACATGGCAGCAGAAGCTTCGGCTACTGTCAAGGACAGTACACTAGCAACAGCTTGGAATAAGCTCCTACCATCAGATGAGTCTATCACTGCAGCTAAAGAGCCAACAAGAAGCCAATTTAAATCAAAGTGTTTGACCTCATTAAAGATTACTCTGGATTTGAAGAATGTGATAAGGAAAACATTCGAGACTGGCTCAATTGTGATGTCAGTGACCCTGGCTATCAAATATTGTTGCCAATGTCATAGATGACCGAGACCCCTGTGATGATGAGGAAGAGCCTAACGATGCTGACCATGCTTAAAAAGGACCAGTGAGGAAGCTTCTCATTGCCTTGAGACTGCTCTGAAGTGGTTAATGTCCGATATTGTGGCATGTCCAACTCCATATTTCTGAGCTAAGCTTGATCCACTAGCACCACACTTCAACTGATCTATTATTTTAAGTTTATCAGAAGCACTGAGAACAATGCGTTTACGTTTACTGGTGATTGCAAATGTTAGAGTGATCTGTTACAAGTAAAAAATTCACGGATTTAAAGTTAATGTCCCCGATGAAAATGGATTTTGATTAAGCACGACACACATTCGGATACAGAGTCCTCATAAAAACACTACAAAAAAATGCCAGTGCTGCCAGCTAAAACACATATACAAACACAAAAATATTGAAGTAGCCCAAGACATAGCCAAAGATTGCAGCACCACAGCACTAGCGAAAATTTAAATTTGCCAACTAAAATGCTTTCAGATAACTGGCTTTCAGATAAGTGATGCTCTACTGTATATTTTCAATTAAACAATAAAGTATTCTGTTAGATTTTTTGAAATTGTATTAATATTAATCTAATATCTAATCACTTTATTTTTAGCACAAATTCAGCAAATGAATTCTCAGCCTAATGGACAAAATAGTGTTGAAGTTTTAACAAAATTACAGAAAGAGAAAGAAATGTTTGATCAAGCATTAAGACAACGAGCTACAACTTTAATTCAGATGAGGATGGTAAGTCTGTAAATTGAGTTTTTTAACATTGAACATATTCTTTCAGGATTTGCATTATGTATGATACAAATGTAACATTATACTATAATACTTAATAAATTCTTATCTCTATATATAAGTAGCAGTAAATAGTTATTGTACTAATTTGAATTTGATTCATTCATAACTATAAAAATGAATATTAATTAAGCAATTTGTAAAATTATTCCAAATATTAACTATTTATCTGATTCATTGACTTTTTTTATAATTATTGTGTGTTTTTTTTATTTCATGTATATTAGAAAAAAACTGTATGTGAGCCTTGAAATAGTATGTAAAAAACAACAGTTTATGAAAAATAACATTTGTTAAATATTTTAATAATGTTATAATGTATAAAAAGCATGACAGACAGATTTTTTCCCTTCTATATATATATAATATATTGTATGTAATAATATGTAACAAAAGGTAAAAACAGACAAAAATCAATTGTAAAAGACTCTAAACATTATGGTAAAGTTTAAGTAATTACTTTAAATTTTATAATAAATGCTGACAAGCTTTGCTTTTTTGCTTAGAACATGGATTAGCCATTTCATCTCTGCCTGGTGCAAGATTAAAATGTTTTTATTTTGAAATGAAATTTTGGTAGATAATGATTGCAGATTTATGCAAAAATATATATAGTAATTGTTACTGGATGAATGACTACTGTGAGAATTCTGTTTTAATATCCACTGATATGTGATTTAGCAATATGAGAATTTATAACAAATGAATAACTTTTTTCACTTGCTTGTTAATATTGTTTTATACCAACATTGTAATTACAAATAGTAATTATATGTTATGTCATAAAATTATTAATAATAGTTTAACTATTTTTTACTTTTTCAAAAAATAAAGATGTGTATTTTCTTTAATATTTGTCAGCAATATGGCTTTTACACAGAACTTTCCTTTAACTTTGTAATGATATTAAAAGAAGTAAGAAAAAAACGAAAAAAACAATAAACCAAGGACTGAATTTTTTAAGAGAAACATATTTTTTTATTTGTTTTGATTAGTTTCAGCTAGAAAAGAATTTTTAGCATTCTGAATACACAATACTATTTCATTTACATATTTTAATTATTTAAATTTTAGGTAATTTTTCTATCTTTAAAATAATGGATAAAAATACAAGGTATTATATATTAAAAATGAAAATAAAATGATCTTAAGATAGAAAATGCTAATTATTTTGTCAAATGCTGAAATTTGGATATTGTTATTGGACACATTGATGATTTAAATATACAACAAGATAATTAGCAGTTTACATATTTTATATTTTGATATAAAGTATTTAAACTGCTAATTTTATTTTTCCAATTAAAAATACAAAGATTTTCTTAAAATCATTGTATTTTTAATTGGAAATTTTTGTGTTTTTAAAAGGACTTTTTTTTAGTTTTTTGGCGGCTAGTAGCCTAGAAAGGAAGGTTGGTCGCCAGGAATGTGTTGTCTAAAACGCAAACTAATAAATGGTGTTCCCAAATTGGGCAAACTTAAGTCTTCAGATTCTTTATAGATAATACTTGTATTTTCGTTTTTAATTTTACAAAACAAAAGTATACAAACTTAGATATTTAAAATATGTATATGGAACATCATGTGTATTCTGCATTCTGAAATTTTTTTCAAAAGACATCAAACTGGTTGAAATAAAGAATGAAAATGTTTCTCATAAAGAATTCTGTTCTTGATTTCCTTATTTAGTAGTTTTTCTTTTGATTTTTAATATTGATATCAAGTTAATGATGAATTTGACTATTTTTCAATGTTATTGTTTTTAGCACTTTTTATATAATCTCTTCTCCTGTGATACAACTTTATATTTGTTTTTTTAGGCTTTAATGGAAAAACACCATGAAACAATTATGCAACTAAATGAACTCCAAAAGAGTGTGTTGGATAATGAACTGATTCGTTGGAAACGTGGTCAGCAACTTTCTGGAAATGGAGTGCAGTTTGAAAACAATTTAGATCAGATTCAAGAATGGTAAAATTTTTCATATTTGAAATCTATATATATAAAAATGAATGTGTGTGTGTCTGTCTGTCCTTCATGCATTACCACACTGTTTATCCAATTGCCATGAAACTTTGGTAAGTTTTTTAATACACTCCCGCGAAGGTTTCTGGCATAGTACATTTATCCTATGATAGATGGCGTGTGTGTATACGAGCATATTACTGTGTGTTCGATTGATTTCAAATTGCGAAGACCATTTCCCCTCCAAAAAATATCTCTATATATGCATTTGTGAACTGTTATTTACAATATTTGTAATAATTTTTGTTTAATCACTTTATTTCAACTTTTTCTTTTTTTGCTAATTATGTATTTGCTTGAACTTTGTTAAAACTTTAACTGTATCTCAAACAACAACCGAAGTTGTAGAAGGAAATTTGCCTATTTTACTGATCTAGGGATTTTCTTTTCCAAATTTTAATATCAACTCAAAATAATTTAAAAAGACAAATTACAATAAAACTGTTTATTATCCAACTAT